TAACGTCAGCCACGTCAATTTGACAAGACTTTATAGTTTTCACATTTAAAGCACCCGTTTCCGTCCAAAACAATTCTTATTTCACTTGGACACGGCTAAAGCCAACTCCAAGTGAAAGGAGGCAACTGTTATGGTGTTCTCAACCACCTAAGTGCGACCCTTTGCTAGCAACGGATAGGTGTACATTTGCATGCAATTCCCCAATCAAGTTGGCGGCCGGAGACCAGCAAGGATGATAACTCAGCTAACTCGCCAAGTTGATATTCCCTCATGTCGACTCGAAAGGTGATATTTGTCACACCTTTTGTCGAAGATGGCTCGCAACGAGCCCACTCGACCAACTACTCTACGCCTCACGAGGTTGACTTGAAAGATATTACTTCTCGGCGGAGCTAGAGGACAACTTCTTACCTCAAGCCTCTCCCACTGGCAACATGTCAGCGTTGCATTTAAGGCTTGGCAGGCACCATGATACCTATATCCCCGATTGTATTCATGACTCATCAGACCACGTCAGTACCGCCAGGCCTCCGATCATTTCCCATTGCCGATGTGATCTCTCCTTCAGTCGCCAGCCAACACCTATAAAGCGAGTGCTGAAGTAGCCGCCAGCCCATGTTTCTTCATCGTCATCCTGTGCTCGGCCACAATGATGGTTATGCCCCTTCGACACTACTATAAATAAAAGGTACTATTCCCTCATGAAGGGGACTTCTTCTGATTCTGATTCTGATTTTTTTCGCAAAATCAGTGTCTTCTACAAACTATACCACACACAAAAGAACTCTCACAGTTCTTTATCACCACTCAAGTTCACCAGCTAACTTGATTGTCGGAGGAACCACGAGGGAACCAGTCCCCGTCCTCTTACATGTTTCTACATGTATAGGCTTTTCAACAACCTAATTCAGAACCGGATATTCGGGGAAGGAAGCGGCCCCTCATCAACCTCACCCCTATCCAATCGCGTATATTATTGACTGTGTGATTACTTGACATCAACACTAACACCTCGTTTGGTATACCATAATCGAGTCAAGTGAGAACGAAAAGAAGAAATGAAATAGAATTAAAATGGTAATGAGTTGCACATATCTATTCTCATGTTTGGGTGCAGATTAAAGAATGAAGTGGGAGTTGTAAATTTTGTATTTTTAGTATTGTATGATTAATAATCAATCATGCATATTTGTTAATATTTTGGTTCCGACTTATATGAGAATGCTCATTCACTAGCATCTCATTGGAAATGCCCATTCCCACAAAATGTAGGAATCATACTCCCTTTAAAAGAGGGAGTTGTGGAAAAACTTTTCATGGACTATATTGCCCCTATTCTTTTTTGATTTTATATTCTAATCATAAATTAACTAAATTAATTATCATTATTAATTAATCATATTACGTGTCAATTCAATTTTGTCTAACTTGGTCCTAAAACTTTCAATGTTATTGTAAAACTCTCATATTGATTATTAATAATGCATAATACAATATTGACAGACAATTGCAAGCTAATAAATTATTTTGGAATGAGTATAAAATATATAATTGTCCTAAAATTATATCGTGGCACTCACATAAAAAATTATAAAGAGTATTCTTGCGTACATAAGTAAAAACATGCAATTTTATAAAATATTAGGATATTTTAGTGCATTAGGATATAAGTGGAGGTATATGAGTGTAACTTTTGTAAGTTGTAAACTATATATGTTTAATTAAGCCTATAAAGATTTGAATCCTTTGTTAAACACAAGCAATAGTATGTGATCCATTTGATAAATAATATACATTGTATAATATGAGGCCAGAGAATTAGCTTATATTTATATAGTACAGAAGATGTGGAAAATTTTTAAGCATCATATTTTGAATAATTCTTAAGATTTTGAATTATAAATAAAATTATATACTTCGCTTAGAATCATACTCCCTTTAAAAGAGGAAGTTGTAGAAAAAACTTTCTATGAACTATATTACCCCTATTTTTTAAATATTATATTTTAATCGTAACTAAACTAAATTAATTATTATTATTAATTAATCATATTATATGGCACTTTAAGTTTGCCTTGGTCCCTAAAACTTTCAATATTATTGTAAAACTCTCATATTAATTATTAGTAATGTCTAATAATATATTAATAGACAATTGCATGTTAATAAATTATTAATGGAAAGAGTAGAAAATATAGAATTATCCTAAAATTATATCATTATATTCATATAGGAAAATTACAAATAGTATTCTTGTGTATAGAAGGTGTATACATGCAATATTAAAAAGAATTAGGATAATTAATTGCAAAAAGATACAAGTGGAGGTATGTAATTAAAACTTTTATAAACTGAAAGGTATTTAATTTAATTAAGCCAATAAATATTTAAAGTATTTGTTAACCACAAGCAATAGTATGTGATCCCTTTGATAAATAATATTCATCATATAATATGAGGCCAGATAGTTAGCTTATATTTATATACTAGAGGAAATGTGGAAAAATTAAAGCATCATATTTTGAATAATCTTAAGATTTTGAATTATTTCTGAATTTATATACTTTGCTTAGAAAACTTTAGAAGAGGCTTTCGAATGACTACTACAAAGTGTTGGGCATCATATAAATGCTAGACAAATAAAATTCATGATATTGGATTGCAATAATCGGGGTTATGTAAAAAATATCTGGGTGTCATATGAGATAATGTTCATACATAATACAACATTATAATCTACAATCTCAGATATTGATGAATCTTTAACATAAGAATTTGCGTCAAGATATATGCTTGAGATTTGGGAGAGCTGAGAGTGGAGAGATTTGGGATATGAATTGTGACTTTTGTGACTTGTGCTTTAGTTTTGGTTTCCAAACACGACCTAATACCAAGCACACAATCAAAGTCAGAATGACTTGATTTTATTATACCAGCCAATATTTTCGATAATGATTGATATATGAGAAACCTCCCCCCTAACAAATAATAATATAAAACCATATTTAACCTTTGATATCAGTCGATAGAGCAATATATCGGCCAATATTTCATATATTGCCTATAAGAGAAATATTTAAAGGTAATTTAGATATCATTTCATTGATTTTAAATCTTCAATAATTCTACATTATTCCCTTAAAATTTTAAAATTGCTTATAATTTAGGTACTAATATAGAATTATAAATTATTTGAGCTAAATTTAAAAGAATAATCAATTCTTTGAAAACTATCTCAAGTATGGGGAATGCCTCAAAAAAACCACTCAACTAATTTAATTTGACAGAGCCTCCTAAATATAGAGATGTTGTAGATAATCCCTCTCAACTTTGATGTGATTTTAGAAAACACCATTCGACTTAGCGCGTCTTATAAAAACTCTCTTGATCTTTTACACATCTCTTAACAAGCCCCCTTAATGTAAAAGACTTAAATAAGTGATTTTGTCAAAATGCCCTATTAAAGAAAGTCATTTTAGTTAAAAGAAACTCTCAACCGATAATAAAAGGATTACAACCAATTTACAATTCTTTTTACCTATAAATCTTCACTTTTTCTTTCATGTAGCAAAAAACCAAGCTAATTCTTTTATGGTTGAGGGATATTTTGGTCTTTCCAAGTCAAGTACTTATCACATAATGAATTCGACTCAATGATATTAGTTTTGAGGGGTTAATTGAGAAATGTTTATAGGGTTAAATTAAAATTTTGAAGTTGAGATAGATTAACTATAACATCACAAAATTGACAACCAAACATTTACTCATTTCAAGTAGTTGTTTTCCCCCATAGTTGAGGGAAAGTTTTCTAAAATTAACCATTAAAGAAAGCATACTTTAAGACACATGTGATATCAATCTTATAAGAGTGAATTTTATAGCAAGTCTATCAGTATCTCTGAAAATCTTTTGCTACAAAATCCGCTGAGAGAAATTTAATTTTTATTTGGGATGACTATGTGATCCTTATGGTTATCCTTATCTTTTTTGATTTGTAATAAATTATTTAACAAAATAAATTAAGTTGTTCATTTTATATGTCTCACCTTTATGAAGCATATAGCTTGGATATGAGTGTTATTAGATTCTTTTAACTCTTTAGCTTAAATTTTTGGATATTATTCAGTATTGGATAGATCTATATTATTTTGTTAAAATACAATTCATATGTGTACAAAATATGTTTAAATAATTCTCAAATTATATTTTATAGTTTTCTAAAATTAGAGAGTAATCATTTTGGCAAATTAATTAATTAGTTAAGAAGATGTAAGAAGATTATAACATCAGATTTTAGAATTGATCACATAATTTATATTTTCTTTCTTGATTGAATTTGCACATTCTAACTTTGAAAAATCTATAAAAAAGTTTTTGAATATCTATAATACTTGGTCGCTAGATAATAGAAAGTGGAAGTAGACAATAGGCACGAGTGATTTCTTTATAATTAAACAAAATCCTCTATGACCAGATAAACCTATCATTTTACATTGATAAATTCAAGATTTATTTTTTCATTAATAATAATAGTTTTTTAGATATTGGTGTTTACATCATTAATATTTTAAAATGATAATTTTAAATCATTAAATTGCTCTTAGATCATTAATATTTTAAGACTTTAAACCTTACTAAGTATGTGTAAGGTAAATTGTTGAAACCAACAAGATTTTATATATTGAAATATCTTAAACTTTTTAATATATTATGATAATCATAAACTTTTTTGCAACTATGTTATAGTAAATACATAAACTAAATTAATATATTATGATAATCATAAACTTTTTTGCAACTATGTTATAGTAAATACATAAACTAAAAATCAACAATTATAATATTTGACCACGTGCATTGCACGTGCATTCCACCTAGTAAATGAAAAGTGAGAATTTACATTCTAACTTCCAAAAAGACCCCATGTTTGTTAAGCATGAATGAGTATTGGGAATGGGCATTCCGTTCTCACCCCTTCACTCACACCAAACAAGGCGTAAACTTTTAAAGTTTATGGTTCTTGTATGCAAATCTCCTCCAACTTCAGGGTAGTTCTCTGTAATTTAATCAACTTGGGAGGTACTAATCCAAAAAGTTTCATCCAGGAATGGGCCTAGTTCGTTGATTCGTAGCTGTGGGGCTACACAAAGTTATCGGGTTCATAAAGATTGAAACTTCTTTACTCTCTGCAGCGAAAATTTGTTTGGGAAGAGGGAATAGCTTGGATCTTTTTAGGGCAAATGGCGGTTCGAGATGAACTGGCGGAATCGTTGGCAGATCTCTTTACCAACCTATCTGCTATGGTCAAAGGCGAGCTCGAGGTCCCTCTCTTCTCTTTTCTCTACTTTCTTTTTTGGGTGTTCTTTGGTATATTATCACAATCTTCTTGTTTGTGTGATCTATCCCGTTAAAAATTTTGAAATTTAATGTTCTAGGAGTGAGATATGGGAAGAATCAAATACAAAAGTTATGAACTTTGATTGTACACACTTCAGAATTTCATTAAAAAAGCTGGATTTTACATGTTAAAGGATAATTGACATTGAAACTAACTAGATAACTGCTGAACTCCATTCTGTTGAATATGTACGGAACCCTTCATCCTAGAGGACCCAAATCATGGGCCTAGCAATACGATCCCATTCCTCAAGTTCATCCCAACCCTAGAATTGTTCTTTGATGACACCACATCCACCCTATTGGTTGAATGTAGGATTAAGAATAGTAGTCATATGACTACTGCTCAAGCGAACTCAGTTATTCGAGAGATAATGAAACCTCGGCCAGCTTTGGCACATTGAAGTTGATGGACAAGCCCGAGGGAGGTTTCACCCGGCTAAGCCTTGGACTTCCTTGGGCTCCTTACATACTTGGATCTAGAGCTTGGGTTTGGTGTGCATTTTGTTCCCTGTTCGACCCATTGCTAAGAGGGTGTTTGGAGGGGCTTATTTTTAGAAGCTTTTAAGCTACACTAGCTTTTGGTCGCTTTTGGCTTTTATAATAAAATCTGTATAATTTTTTTTGGTAGAATGGTAATTTGTTTGGTCAAACCAAGTTTATTGAGGTTAGCTTATAAACTAGGTTTTCAAAAGCTAGGATATACTAGCTTTTTAAAGTGGGGCTTATAAGATAGCTTATTTGGTATTTTTCGAAACTGGTAAATAGAAAAAGGCTAATTTAAAAGGTAGTTTGACAAAAAAAAACACTCCCCGAAAACATCGTCTAAGCCTGAACCCTAAATTTGGAGGAAGATAGGAGGTGGTAACTAAAGCAAAAAATTAAACATAATGAAAGTTGGAGAACAAATGAAAGGTCAAGCGACAAATTGATTTGGTCAAATTATAAAAACAAATTGAATATACTAATTTTTATTTCCTAGTTGAAATGAGTACATTTACTTAGTTATTTAAATCACCAAAGCCAATTAGTCAGATAATACGTTGGCTTCATTAGATCTATATGCCTTAAAGGATTTATAAATGAAAATTCATGGACTTTTGTGTACACTTGCCCATGCATCAACTAGCTTCGAGTGAATGAATTTTCAGTAGGTTGACTAAGGAAGACTTGTAAATATCGTAAAAGAACTTTCTTTGACCAAATTATATGCAACAAAAACTCACCTTCACAATTCACAAATCTGCATATTTCCGAAGTGCAACAAAAGGATAATGTTTCCACATAAAATAATTGTGTATTTGCATAGGGAGTTGATATATATTGTTTGAAGTGTAAAATTAATAAAAATCAAGCCCATACACAACAAATAGGCAAAATAGACAATAAATAGTAGTATGTTGGTTAAATCTATGTTTTAGGACATGCGAATTCTCAATTGAACCGTTTTACACGCTTGAATTTTCATTGGTCTCAATGTAGTCCATTAAAATTAAAAAACTTGTTAATTGACAGTTCATTTTCCAGACACTATGCATCTGATGTTAGGGTAAAAAAACTACGAACTACTTGATTTTTGTTTTTTTAATGCTATTAGCAAAGTAGATCAACTTGAGAAAAGAAATCTTAATGTGATATTCCTGTGGTCAAATTTGAACTGCAATGATTTGCTTCCAAATTCTTGACACCCGCTATTCTTCAATTAGTTAGCATGCACGCATCACTTTGTACATTTTTATTTACACGTCCAGACATCCAAATAGTCTATAATGAGAGATAAATATGTTTCAAATCTTGTACCCATGTATCAACCACTATACTTTTTTTAAAGTTCGAAATAATACTCTTATTTGTGACTTATTTTCACGAAGATTTAGGAACACTCAATCCCCTTGCTCAGAGATCACTTGATGTTTTGGGCAAGATGAACAGTGTGGATCATGCATATGATAGCCTACTATGTTATTGTCATATAACTCTCATGTGAAGATTCCATTATGCTAAGCTTCACCAAGACCAAATGTTTTTGGACTTTAGATTATACATATTGAAGGTTGTGAGGATTTATGCATGCAGTTATTGTGGAAAGAAGGTTAACAACCAAATTACGCGCGCATGCATACATCTGTACTGCATATATACATGTGTATAAGTGCACACATATACATATATACATATAAACATATACAGGTTATATACACATACACGTACATACATACACAGGCACAATGTATGTGTATATATGTATATATATGTATCTGTTTTTATGTATGTATCTGCACATATGCATGCTTGTCTCTATAGTTTTCTTTTGAGTGAAGATATACTACTGACTCTCCGTGTGTGCATAGTCTCCTTCTGACAGAAGATATACTGCAGACTATCCTTGGGGTGTAAGCATCGTCCTCTGGATGATAACTTGCAATATGCACATTTATGTCCCCTAATTTTACACCCTTCCAGAATAAGTTACATCTGTAAACATTAATACGCTATGTGCTTCTATGTCAGGGGACAAATAACCAGCTATTGCTTCTGGAGAAGATGAACCACAGAGTGGCAGAGGAATATAATGGCTTCGGCGATGTAGCTTCTGGATTAAGGGTATTTGTTGAACAATTGAGCGATAAAAATAAAAACTTCGATGATTATGTGCATGAAATCGATGCGATTGACAAACAAGTTACTGAGTTTGAAGCTGCCGTTTCCGTGCTGGATAAGTATGTTGGCATGTTGGAGAAGAAAGTACTATCTGCTTATGATAATGTACATACATAATTTGTGTTCTCATGATAAATCGTCTTTTTAACTTAAAAGACGTAATTTCTAAATTTCAACTTATGGTATTAGCACTTGTTATTTCTGACTTTTAGAGGAGGAAACTTGATGACAGCATCCCCTGATGTAACTGCTATGTAATCTGTCACAGTGCAATTGACAAAAGTTATGAAGCATAATACTCTGAAAAAGATTTGACAAAAGTTATGGAAGCCAAAGTGGAGTATGTTGCCTCTTGTGTTTGATGTAGCATCTTTAGCTCTCTAAAATTGATGCAGCTCTGATGATATTAAGAGATCTCAATCATCTGAGCACCTGTCTAGTTTCTGAAATTTCAGAATACTAAACAGGATAAATATTCGGCACATGTTAATTTAGTTTCATTAGTCAAACACATGATTTGCGAATAGCTGAAGGCGAGAGGGTGGTAGGGGACGAGATGGATGGGTTGATTTGAGAGGGCTGATGAGCGGCTAGGTAAGGTACCCTGTGTTTTCTCTAACAAAAGGTTAAGGTAAAGATTTAAAATGTAAATTGAAGGGTAATTAGTATTTTATTTATTTTGAATTTCTCACATAATTTTCACTTTCCAACAAACGTCTGCTCAATTTTACTATACTTTGATTTGAGGAGTATTTGGGTGATTTATTACGTTTATTTGATATTAGTCCCTTAAATAGTTGAATTTTTAATCATTCAAAATTAGTCCCTCAAATCATTTGAATTGCTAATAGGTCTCCTATTCTTATAAGTTTTTCTAGAATTATTCCCTCAAACTCCCTCAATTATTATAAATTGTTTCCAATCAATTCCTCTAATTAAAAAAAATCAGCGGCAAGAGATAAGAACTGCGTCGGGTATCATTTTCAATGATTTAAAAAAGACTAACGGAAGTGACAGCATCGGTGATGGCTACTTTCTCGCACTGAATGTTTGCTGATGATTTATTTCTTTTGGAGAACCCTCCTTAAACAGGATGGAGGAAATCAAACACACATTCGATATTTATTCTCCTTTGGTCAGGGCAATTGGTAAATTTCTCCAAATCAGGTATTCTTTTCTGTTCTAAACTGTTGATGTATGGAATCACAAAGTCAAATACAAGGAGTTGATTCAATTGACGGAGGTCCTCTAACTCTCTGATTGTCTGGTTCTTAAGCAAGTTTTTCTTCCCTGCACAAGTAACAAATCGTAAGAGGCCGGGGTGTAATTCCCTAGTTGTTCCTCTGACAAACAAATCAGTGAGTTGCTTGTGTGGAGAAGCAAAAGGAACTGTAGTAGTTTTTAAGTTCAGAGAGTAATAAGAAAAAGCTTACCATATAATTAAAGTAGTATCTCCTTTTATAGTAGGGGCATGAGTGTAGAAGAGTAATTTCGGCCGATCATGGGCTGGCGGCCACATCAATCTCAACTTTACAGGTGTTGGCTGACAAGTAGAGAAGATGTCACTTCGGTGTTCAATTCGAAGTGATGAGGGGTGTGCGGTGCCGACGTGGTTCGATGTGTCATAAATACTATTGGGGGCAGAGGAATGATGATGCCCATAATGTATTTAATGATATTTATTGTGAGGTGATTAGTCATCAGTGCACAGGAGGGGCTCGAGGCTCGAGGCATTTTGTCACCTTTCTACTCGTCGGATGGTCGATAAGTACCGCATTTTGAGTCGCCCTCGCAAGGTGTCGACCGATGAGTTGGCCGAGTGGAGTGGTTAAGTAGCCGACTCAACCAAGGAACGATACGTAACGCCCTTTGGGTCGTCGACAATGTAACGCCTTTCGAGTCGTTCTCGCAATATGTCGTCGTGTCGAGTCGATCAAGTTGGACCTCTAATTATCTTGAGATGCTGACTTGATTATGTATAATGTGGGGCACTTGTTTTCCATTGATTATAGATTATTTTTTATCACTAAATCGGCTATAACAGTTGGCCGCTTTTACTTGGAGTCGGCCTAGGCCAGATCCAAGTGAAACATAACAGCTCTTGCTGAGTCATGAGAGGCATTAATGAGGGATCTTAAAAGTTCTTTTCGATGTGACATGACTGACGTCAGTGAATTCTTTTCAACCACAGTCCCTTCATTTTTTGTGTAAGATTGCGGGATATTCAAGGCGAGCACGTTTTGTCTCGATTCGAGAAAAATGTTTCGAATTCTGAAATTAATCTGGGCCGTCTGTTGGGGTTCAGTTCGTCTATTGAGATTCTGACAGTTAGAGCCCCGGCTGCACTATAAGCACGACTGTCATGGTGAGAGAGCGATTATTGCTTTTCGAAATTCTAAATTCGAAGTTGCCAAGTGCTCCGATTATCTCTTCTGGCAATGATCCATAGCACTAATGGAAACCTCTGCTCTCAACGCTAGGCAAGAAATGCTTGCTGAGATCCATTCAAAGGTCACACTGCCTCAACTCAGAGCTCTCCATGGGAAGTATGACTATGATATTCCCCGTAGTTACAAGTTAACGACGCTGACGATAGCGCAGGCGGTTTACAACCATGACAATAGTCGAGCC